TACTTCCTTCGTTCGTTTTTTAATAGGTGTAACAATTTGACTTTTACACTATAGTTATGTATTTTACTTTGACTAGCTTTGACGGTTTATACTTAAGTAAAAATATAGTCATGTGAAATCTTGTTGGATTCGTTTCGACTTATACAATTTTACTGTCAAATGTTTATAATTTTTACATGTTGAAATTAAAGATATTAACGATTGAAAACATACATCGGCAGGCATGCAAAGTAAAGTGTGTCTGTGTGTGTGTATATATATATATATATATATATATAGGGGAGGGATCATGTGAGAACCAAGGCTTATATAAGAACCCCCTTAAAATAAGAACCAATCTTGCACCATCAATTATAAGATTATGGATGGCTAAGATTAATTATCACTTTCCCATGCATTTTCTTGGGAACACGCATTTCAGTCATTGGTACATGCTTTTTAATTTTTTTTTCCTTATTTTCTGCATTGAAACAACGATTTATGTACTATAAAACCAAGAGATTCAGCCATTGAAGAGAGAGAAAATGGAAAATCTGGTTTCATTTTAATTTAGCCATTGAAGAGAAAGAAATGAAGCCAGATTTCAAATGAAGATTTCTCTCTCATAAAGAAAGCTTTTGAAGCATTTTTTTTTAATTTGATTATTTTTTTGTGTAGAATAAGCATACAAAATTTTATAATTTTTGTAGTTCGTTTGATATTTTTGTGGGTAGAATTTTCGAAGTAGTGCAAAAAAGGAGCAAATCTGGAAAGACAGATTTCAAATGAAGATTTCTCTCTCATAAAAAACCCTTTTGAAGCGATTCTTTTTTTGAATCTGCTTATTTTTTTGTGTAGAATAAGCATACAAAATTTCAGAATTTTTGGAGTTCGTTAGATTTTTTTTGGTAGAATTTTCGAAGCAGTGCAAAAAAAGAGCAAATCTGTATGTGGAATATCATTCAATTCTGGAACAAAATAAATAATATTTATGGGACAATAGTTCATATTTCTGGAACAAAATAAATAATATTCGAATAAATATTATATGAAACATCAATGATTTTTATGTATTAAACAATATCATTAGTATATGAAACAATACATATATTTTATGGAACATTAGTAGTATAAAATGAAACATAAGGTATGTTTTTTGAAACATCAATAAGGTATAAGAAATCACAGTAAACCTAGTTCATATAGAGCCCAACTATATGAAACAAGCAATAATATATATGAAACATTAATATTATAAATTGAAACACTTGATATATTTTACAAAACATCATTAACGTACACCAACTACACATAATGGATGGTTGAGATTAATTATCACTTTCCCATGCATTTTCTTGGGAACACGCATTTCAGTCATTGGTACATGCTTTTTAATTTTCTTGGGAACACGCATTTCAGTCATTGGTACATGCTTTTTAATTTTCTTGGGAACACGCATTTCAGTCATTGGTATATTTCACACATATGGTGTAGAACAATGTATAATATTTATGGGACAATAGTTCTTATTTCTGGAACAATATAAATAATATTCGAATGAAATATTATATGAAACATCAATGATTTTTACGTATAAAACAATATCATTAGTATATGAAACAATACATATATTTTATGGAACATAAATAGTATGAAATGAAACATAAGGTATGTTTTTTGAAACATCAATAAGGTATAAGAAATCACAGTAAACCTAGTTCATATAGAGCCCAACTATATGAAACAAGCAATAATATATATGAAACAATAATATTATAAATTGAAACACTTGATATATTTTACGAAACATCATTAACGTACACCAACTACACATAATGGATGGCTGAGATTAATTATCACTTTCCCATGCATTTTCTTGGGAACACGCATTTCATTCATTGGTACATGCTTTTTTAATTTTCTTGGGAACATGCATTTCAGTCATTGGTATATTTCACACATATGGTATAGAACAATGTATAATATTTATGGGACAATAGTTCTTATTTCTGGAACAATATAAATAATATTCGAATGAAATATTATATGAAACATCAATGATTTTTATGTATAAAACAATATCATTAGTATATGAAACAATACATATATTTTATGGAACATAAATAGTATAAAATGAAACATAAGGTATGTGTTTTGAAACATCAATAAGGTATAAGAAATCACAGTAAACCTAGTTTATATAGAGTCCAACTATATGAAACAAAATATAATATATATGAAACATTAATATTATAAATTGAAACACTTGATATATTTTACGAAACATCATTAACGTACACCAACTACACATAATGGATGGCTGAGATTAATTATCACTTTCCCATGCATTTTCTTGGGAACACGCATTTCAGTCATTTGTACATGCTTTTTAATTTTCTTGGGAACATGCATTTCAGTCATTGGTACATTTCACACATATGGTATGGAACAATGTATAATATTTATGGGACAATAGTTCTTATTTCTGGAACAATATAAATAATATTCGAATGAAATATTATATGAAACATCAATGATTTTTATGTATAAAACAATATCATTAGTATATGAAACAACACATATATTTTATGGAACATAAGCACTATAAAATGAAACATAAGGTATATTTTTTGAAACATCAGATAAGGTATAAGAAATCACAGTACACCTAGTTCATATAGAGCCCAACTGTATGAAACAAGCAATAATATATATGAAACATTAATATTATAAATTGAAACACTTGATATATTTTACGAAACATCATTAACGACGTACACTTCAACTATTATTTTAACGTAACGTGTTTCAATGCAATAAATAATAAAAAGCATGTAATAATGACAGCTTTTGTCAGATTTTGTGTCCCAATGCACAAAAATTTAAAAAAAAAAATACAAACAATCATTATAATTAATGAAGGTGGCCCACGTGAATTCCCACTAATGAAACAATAAATCTGAACCATTCATCTAATAAAAATGAATGGTGTTAGATGAGTTCTCATTTTAAAATGGTTCTCACCTAAGCCATGGGTTTTCACATGATCTCATTTCTCTCTCTCTCTCTCTCTCTCTCTCTCTCTCTCTCTCTCTCTCTCTCTCTCTCTCTCTCTCTCTCTCTCTCTCTCTCTCTCTCTCTCTCTCTCTCTCTCTCTCTCTCTCTCTCTCTCTCTCTCTCTCTCTCTCTCTCTCTCTCTCTCTCTCTCTCTCTCTCTCTCTCTCTCTCTCTCTCTCTCTCTCTCTCTCTATATATATATATATATATATATATATATAACAGAGAGAGCAAGTACATTTTTTAGGTACACTCTTAGTTAACCCATCCATGTCATTTTAATTACTTCATAGATTTTTGTATTATTGTATACTTATATAAAATTATAAATTGCACTATAATGAAGAATATATAAATGTTGAGTACATTTATACTTCCACCATTTGTTATAAGTTGCTTAATTTTAGTTTGTTACATTTGTCAACACACCACTTTAATCATATTATTCAAATATTTAATTACTACTTGTATGTTCTTTTGAAAAAAAAAATTAATATATAAATTTTAATTTAACTTATCTAGTCTTTTTTTTTCTTTTTCTTTTATCTTTTAATAATGAACTTGATTTTCTTATAATTAGTAAACACACTACATACATGGTCAATTTTGTTAGGAAACAGTGTAAAAAAGTTAAAATGATACAAAATGGAGCAAGAATGGAGTAATGACCAACTAATTATGCATGTACTTATGGATACAAATATAAAAATGTGTAATCTGATTTTAAAAAAAAATGAGAAAGAAGAAATAAACCCTACTTTATTCTGCAAGAATATTTTAAATTGTTATATGTTCTATGTTTCAAATTCTACAGTATTAAGGAGTACCTTTTATTCTAAAATTGAATGTTACAAGTCATCCATGGAATGTTTTTATAATAAAAAATGGAGGAGCTGTATTACGGTAAACATTAAGTTAAATTGAATAAACTCAAGTTGAGAGCAACTTTTTGAAAGTGGGATAGTGTGAGAGAGTTGATTAATTCTGACTAATTTTGGTCAGCAAAATGGAGAAACAATGCCCACCACCACATAATATACATACGTACACACAACATCCCACAAACACACCCACCCACCCACCCACCATCGCATAAGATAATCCTTGTACATAAGTTGAGGTGATGGGATACCGGCATCGTTCCCATCATCTCATGTCTATGAATTCTAAGGATCAAATCTCATGAGACTCATTTGAAGAGGGATTACAAAAGATAATCCTTATACTCTCTCTGTTATTTTAAGTACTCCATCTGCCCTAAAATACTTAATACTTTTTATGTATCTAAATATTAGACACACTTTTTTCAAATACTGTAGAGTACTATTTATTATCAACTTTTATTTTCACTAATAATCTACTTTGTACAATGTTATTTGCTTCACTTTAAATCCAAATCAAACATGTAAAGAAAACCATAAAATTGTACTATCTTGGCTTCTGAATAGGCACTCAGTTTCTCCATTTAAAAAAAAAAGAAAAAAAAAAATTAAAAGCCTTGTTCTAAGGACATTTATAAGTTATTTGCTGAACGTAAATAATTTTTAGAAATTCATTACATTGTTCTTCCTTAGTTATAAATTTGATTAAAATTTATAAGAGCACATACTAAACTTAAGTTAGGACATGTTCTCTTTGACTTAATTTCAATTCTTAATTTCCTTCTTGAATAAACAATTCAGCTCAGTTTAGTTTAATACAGCTCAGTTCATCAAATCAGAACAGACCCTTGGTACTAAAATTTTCCTCCATTTCATTTTACTTGCAACAGTTTTATTGACATTCATATCTGTTGATGCATAGTGTCAACAATACATATCTTTAATTATAATTCAGAATTGATATTATGAAATTATATATTGAGACGGATCTAATATTCCGTAAAACATCTCTTATCTATAGAGTACTTTTGCCTTACATATCAATAACTAAACAAAGTCAAACAATTAGACATTTTTCCTCTCAACTTTATGTTAAATCGTTACAATAAATATGTAATTAGGGTAGTATATGAAAATACCAATCTCATACTAGTGATACAACTCCCCTTCTCAATTCCTCTCATAACTCCTAAACAAAGGAGAGAAAGAAAAAAGTACAATTAAATTAAACAAAATCAAATTGGCAGAGACAAATATTCTTGCTGTGCGGCTTGTAATAAATTTAATCCACCACCAAAAAAAAACCAAAAAAAAAAAAAAAAAAGTATTTATTTGCCTCTTCTTCCATTCAATTCTCTCTCATCACTTTAATTTCTCTCACACAAAAACACACACACACACTACACTCATCCATCCATCCATCCAACACATAAAAAGCAAACAAACGCAGACAAACAACTTCTAGTCATAGAGAGAGAAACCTAACTCATTTCAGACATTCCTTTTTCTCTCCTTTTTCAAAAAAACAAACAATTTCACCTCTACTTTTAATCTTAATTTAAACACCACTTTTTTTTTTTTTTTTTTTGGGTCTTCTGCTTCTTCTTCATCTGTTCATGGACACCGCTCAATGGCCTCAGGTATATATTCCACTTTATTGGTAGATAATAAAGATTAGATCTTTATTACCTTTTTGTTTTTCTTGTGTTTTTTTCTTTTGTAATATACAAGTAATTTGTTTGAGATTTTATACTTGTATAAATTATATAAAGGAAATAAATAAAGTTTTCATCTTTTGAGTTTTGGCTAGGAAAAAAGGATTAATTTGTTATTATTATCATATCATCTGCTGCTACTGCTGCTATAATCCTGCAAAAGTGAATTTTCTTTTCTTTTGTTTTTTCAAAAAAAAAAAAAGTTTTTTTTTTGTTGGGGTTTGTTGTTTTGGTTGTATGTCACCTGTCTTCATCTTAATTTGTTTTTGCTTTGACTAACTTTGTTGGATCTTGAAGCTAAACAATCTTTACCTTTTATTTTCTTTCTTTTTTGTTCACTTTAATTTTAATTTTTTGGCACCTTTTTATTTTTTGTGTGTTATTATAGGAGATATTAGTGAAACCAATGGAAGAAATGATCCCCAATACATGCTCATCCTCAGCAACAGCCCAAATTACAAACATAAACACCAATATCAGTAATAGTAACAACAATAGCAATAACAACAACAATTCAAAACCAAGTTCTACTTCTTTAGAGAGGAAAGTAAGGCCTCAAAAAGATCATGCCGTAAATTGTCCGAGGTGCAATTCAACCAACACCAAATTTTGCTACTACAATAATTACAGCCTTACTCAACCAAGGTACTTCTGCAAGACTTGTAGAAGGTATTGGACCGAAGGCGGTTCTTTGAGAAACATTCCTGTTGGTGGTGGTTCTAGAAAGAACAAGAGATCATCAACCTCATCTTCATCGCCGTTGTCGTCGAAAAAGATATCTTCTCATGATTTGGTTGCTGCTCAACAGCAATCACATCATTTTGTTCATCAAAACCCTAATAACAAGATCCACCCTCATCATCATCATCATCAACAGCTTCATAATATGCATCATCAAGGTCAAGATTTAAACTTGGGGTTTCCACCAAATCAGCAAGAATTCAGAAGTCTTTCTGAATTCATGCAATTGCCTACTATTGAAACTGCAAAACCCCAAATGCCAAATTCTGCCAATACTAATACTAGTACTAATGGTAGTAGTGCTACTACTAATCATCATCTTTCGGCTTTGGAGCTTTTGAATGGTCTTACATCCTCTAGGGGGCTAACCCCTTTCATGCCGATGCCGGTCCCGGCTCCGGATCATCCCAATGGCAACGGTGTTGGTGGCGGTGTCTATCCATCCGGGTTTCCCTTACAAGATTACAAGCCGAGTTTGAATTTTTCGCTTGTAGAAGGTCTTGGAGATGGGTATGGGAGTATACAACAAGGAGAAGTGCAGCAACATCAACAAGTAGTATCTGATCATCAACAACAAAATCAACAAACAGCTAATGGAAGGCTTTTGTTTCCTTTTGAAGATTTAAAGCAATCAACTAGTGGTGATCATAATAATACTAATAGTAATACTAACAATAATAGTGGTGATAATCATCATGAACAACAAAATGGTAAACAAGGAGATGTTTCAACACCTGGGTATTGGAGTGGCATGTTGGGTTCTAGAGGATCTTGGTAGCTTTACTCAATATTTGCACAAATTATGGAGTAATTAATATGGTTTTTTCCTTTTTCTTTTTCTCTTTTTTTACTTAATTTTCTTGTTTTAAATCTCTTAAATCTGATCCATCTCCTTTGTTCTTTTAGATTTTCTTAATGGGGTGATATCTGATATGACTTGTTTTGAGGGTTTTTTTTTTCTTTTCAAAAAAAAAAAAAAAAAAAAGAGCTAACAGATAATAGGGATACAATATGGGTTTATGATTTCTCTTAATTTCTGATTAGCTTGTTAATTAATTTCTGATGATTGTGTGATTTTGAAGTGGGAAAAAATTTAGTTTTTTACTTTACAAAAAAAAAAAAAAAAGGAAAAGCCCATAATTTTTGAGGGGCTTTGCCCATATACCATGTTAAGCAAAGTTAATTAGCTTAGCTTATGGTGTTTGTCTTGTATTGGAAGAGGAATTTTCCAAGATGATGTTGCATCAGTGTCTTAGTGTCATTGGTTGGCTTGCTATATATGGAGGAAAATAGTTTAATTATCATTGTATTTAATTACTATAATTTGGTAGTTTTTGTATTGAGAGCACTTGTTTTTATCAAAGGGTTTGTATGTTGATACTAATTAATTAATGAATTAATTACTATTACTCATAATTAATGATGAAATTCTATGCTTTTGTTTTATTCACCGTTTTTATTGATTTGTTTTAAAAATTTTAAAGATGATATATGATTATCTAAATAAGCATGTACAGATCTCCAAAATGATTTTTCTTTGAAAAACAAAAAATCAAAAAACAAAAAGAGAAAAAAAAAAAATGAATAAAAGTGGAGGTCAGATGATGTGTGCTCAACAATATGATTGTATTTGTATTCTCTTTCCCTTGTTTTATGAGTTCATGCTAGGAGGTTTAATAACAAGGAGGCCCCATTTTTAAGGTCAAGTGTGAGATTTTTTGCAGCTATTAATTAAAGCATATTTTGTCCATGATAATGAAAGGAGCTTAAATAAAGCAATTAAAGCCCATAAAAAACAAAAATAAATAAGAGTAAAATTAAAATCCCAGGTATGATTTCTCATGACTTCACATGGGGCTTTCCAATAAAGTGTTAAGTGTCTTTGATGTTAGACAGCTCTTCTATCTTTCAAGTTATATAATTAAGTGTAAGTCTTATTTTGTTGTGCATTTTTAGATTTGGGGATGATATATCTTTCCGGAGAAGGCCGTATAATTTAGTGATGAACGCTATATCTATCTGGTGGGTACGGAGTATTAATTACATAGTCGAACCACCACTGTTAGTACTTGCTCCACTATCATCAAATTTCAAGTTCAAATATGTACAAATGTAAATATATAATGCTGGTTTCACCTACTAAATTTCTATATCCAAACACTAGTCATTTTCCTTCCTCCCTTGGCTCAACAAGTACCACTAACCATAATACTATTCCTATTGAGTGTGGATTTTGAGTAATTAATATCAACATTTTTTTTTTTTGGCTTTAAAAATTTTCATATTTGTATATTTTAGAGATTGTGTGAAAGATCTGACAAAGACCCTCCTGTTTTTTGGTCTAACAGGTGGGAAGGGGGTGCTTACTGGGACCCACAAACATTCTCCTAGGGTAGTGTGCCTAAAGGAATAATCTTGCCCACTTAATGGATCCATCTAGATCTAGACCTTCTAATGTGATAATTTTTTAATTATATCCTAATTATATAATTAATACTTAAATTATACAACATACAATCAATATTAATATACTAGTATATACTCAGTTATTAGTCACTAGTATATTTTATTAAAGAAAAACGTTTGATCATCAGATAGTTTCATTATACAGGTCAATCTAACTCGAGTTAGCGGAGAAGGCGGTCCCTTACTATACTGTGGGTATTAATGTAGAAAGTGTGTATTTGTTTGCTGTTATCCACCAGATAATGTTGAGCGTAACAAGTGGGTAATTGTTGAGAGAGAGAGAGAGAGAGAAAGAGAGGCATGCAACATGATATGCAGTTCCCCACCTCATGATGATGATGAATTCATAGGGAGTTGCTTTTTCTTGTTTCTTACTCCTTGGGTTTGTCTTGTCATTTCCACTGCATTGCATTTTCATTTTCATTTTTCAGGAATTTTTGTTTACAAATTAAATATGGAGGATTATATGATATTATCTGAAAACAAGAATTTTTATATTTGTGGTAAAAAAGACAGCTTCAACATGCAATTTTATAGAATGTGTTTAGCTATTTTCTGAAAAATGGTTGTTTTTTAGAGGTTTTGTGACCTAAGGTCGAATATCTGTTCGATCAAATGGAGACAAATGTTTATAGTACGTACATTTCAAGTTTAGCACCCCAGTCTCCTATCGTCCTATGAATCGTACGTACTAAAGAAAAAGAATAGAGAGAAGGGCCAGAAGGCTGATTTTGGTTTGTTGTATTGGGAATCAACATTTATTTGTCTACCATTTAGAACTACTCTCTCCGTCTATTCAAAAAAAAAAAAAAAAAAAAAAAACTACTCTCTCCGTCCCTCTGTATTTTCCCTATATTCAAAATATACACTACAGCGTAATTATAAGAGTTGTTACTCTAAAATTTCACCTTTATGAGTTTAAAGTTGTGGTAAATGTTATATGTAGGACTTGTTTTCTTTAACTAATTGTTTAAGATACTTATTATTTATTCTTTAATAGATTCATATTAAATTAGACTAGATAAAAAACATTCAAATCAAAACTTTTAATCATCATTTACTTATTGTTAAATATTGTTAATTGCACGTTAAAAAATCATGAAAATTATTTATATATTTGAAAAGTTCATAATGAGAGGACTCTAATAAGATCCATTTAATAATACGAGTATTTATCTATATAGATTAATACTATTAAAATGTGGTTAAATCAAATCAAACCAAATAAAAAAATTCAGATCAGACCTTATTAAAATCAAACCGAGTCTCTTTGTTTAGGTGAAGAGAACAAGTTTAAATAGGACACATTTTTAGGGGAAACTCAAAATTGAATATGAGGCAAATAAATAAAGACGGGTGAAGTAGTCAGGGACTTGGGAATAGAAAGTAATTTAACAACTCCTAAGATGGGCAAAATAGTCATTTCCAAACCCATGACCGCTCATACTGTCATACACCATGATAACCACCACAATGTTGAAAGCCGACCTGATACTTAGAGGTGACAATTCAGATACTAAGCTGGGTTTGTTGAGGTCGGGTTAGATTTATATTAAAGTTGGGTCAAAATATGAATCGTTTTTTTTTTTTCAAGTCAAATTGAATCGTGAAATTCTTGACATCTCTACCTAGTAGCTAGATGAAGTAGGTCTTTTTAAGTCGATATATGTCTCCTTTTTTTCCTTTTTTGAAGAAGCTACGTGATACCACGATAGGTTGATAGAAATGAGCAATGAGCGGGAACTGTATATAACCCATAGAGTTGGAAATACTTCATATAATTGGTATGAATAAAGTCCTTTTAGAATACATTTTATAGATAGTAAAAAAGATGCTTGACCTTTCGAAGGGATAAGATTGCACACATTTGAACAATTGAACTTGTTAAAGACTTAAAACTCTATCGATCAGCTCTTATGATTAAGAGAGTCAGCCAATTGGGGGAATGATTAAGAGATCATAGACTTTAGTGTGGATGTCAATGAAGAGAATTAGTATGGAAAAAGGTTAATTCCATTGAAGAATACTCAAGTATTTCTCGTATAATAATTGAACTTAAGTTTAAACGAAATCAAGAAAAAAAAGTTACGGTAAGATAAAGGTGGTATGCCAATAATCGTTCTAGAACTCATTGTAACATTATATTAATTTCTAAATTGCACCTTTTCTGTTAATTTTTACTCTTTGTAACTGCCAAAGGGCAAACACTCTTTACGACTTTACATAATCATCTATTAATCTATACATAAGACTTTGACTTAATTATATTAAGTGAAAAATTAATACTCGTACCAAGTATGATACTATATGTAACAAGTGGGTTTATATATTTTATGATAAAGTATATGATTATAACATTTGAAGATCGATTATATTTGATAATTAATCACGTATTGAAAAAAAATAATATTTATTGAAAGATTATTACCGAATATAGATATTAGTAATGATATATAAAGTGAGACAAAATAATCAAAGTAGAAAAAAGCTGTGATTTTACATATCAATGAAGTTGGATTCCTTATGCTTTAATTTATATGCTCTACAGTCTACGCTGATGCTTTCAGCTTTCGAACTACGGAGATAGGGCGATAAGATTTTGTAGAGATATCTAGCTTTTTATCAATTAAATTAGGTCCCCCTACACTCAATTGATTCGTATATAATTATTGATGCAAACTTGACAATAATATGGAGTATGATTTAAACAACACGAACAGAACAGATTTCGACAGAGTAGAATAGGTGTCAGTGAAATAGAGCTCAGCAGAGTAGAACATACCAAAATAGTCAACAGTTTAAAAGAACAAGGTCTAAAACGGTTACAAGTTTTTAATTGATTTTCACCGAATAAAACTTATATTATTGATTTTTATTTTACTAATTAACCGGGGAAGAATAAAATGCATATTTTAAAATCAATTTCATTTTAATGTTTCCCTATCAAAAACCTTATACGTATATATTGTCTTTATTACCGCCAGAAAAATTGATCTCCCTGAATTACTCTGACCTTAAAAAAGAGTGTAGTGGTTCTGTGAAAGGGATGTATGAGAAAAAAATTATCTTATGATGATAGATGGGGAAATAATTTTGGGGCCTAAGAGCCAAAGATTCACAACAATATTTTATTTTTGTAAAACATGATGTACGGAGTTAGCCTATAGAGAAACTTATAGCATCACTATGAAACGGATAGAGTAAATTAATGTATACTCCCTCCGTTTTATAATAATTGTCACGATTAAAAGTGTACATATCTTAATAAAAATATAGAGTAGACTTGTGGGCTTTAATAATATAATATATAGTAGTTCGTATGAGAAATAATACTCGTAGAAAAGTAGAGAGAGAGAAAAATTAATAAGAGAGATAACAAAAAGTGTTGTAATTATTATGAAGCAGATATAAAAGAAAAATGTTGCGAATAATACAAAACGAAAGGAGTATGAATCTTATGTTTATACTGTTTGTTTTTTTTGTTTTTTTTTTGTTTTTTTTTTTTTTTTTTACATCAATAAAACACATAAATGGAAAATCAAGTAGTAAAGAGAACCCAAAATACATAATTAATAATCACCATAAAGCATTAAAAGTGTGTGTATGTCCATACTTAGCTTAAGCAACTTTAGTTTAAACACTAAAGAAAGACTAATTTAATGGTGAGATGGTGGGGAAGTTAAACTTTCATACTTGTTTAGATTATTATTTGACATACTTGTATAGATTATAGAAGTATATACTCACATCAAATAGTGAAAATGTGGCATGCTTAATCGGGACAAAGGTGAGATTATCTTATTGTATAATAAATAAAATTAAATTAATAGATTCTTCATTCTCTAATTTCAAAGGTTTTAATAAGATGACAAAAGATGAAGCTCTTCTCTTATGGAAAAAAATTCAATGCACTTTTTATATCTGTATATACTCGATTAATAGTACTGTATCATGGTTGATCGAGGAAGATGAGCAACTCTCAACTTATTACTTAATTTAAAATGTGAAAGGATCATTTCTATTTTGGATCAACTAGTGAGCTCTCAAGTCTTGAGCACCTTCTAGCTCAAGTTCAAGCTTTCCGAGGTGGTGCGTATCGAGTTCTACTATGGCCCTTTTACACCCTAAGTTCCATACAGCAAAGAACATTGGCAAGCCTAAAATAATCAAAAGCTAAATTTACCGATTGCCTGTGACAATGGTAAACACTTTTACATATGGATATTGCCTCACCTATTCTATCCTTTGATGCTGACATTAATAGACAAACATGTTTATTTCATGAGTAACTAGTTCATGCAATCAGCAGACAGGCAGTCCAAAAACGCGTATAAGCTAGACATATCAGCTCAGGTACTTGATATTGCCATTGACCACTAAGCCAAAATTTTGGTTATACACCCTTTCCATTATAAAAATGACACCATTATATGCAAAACAATTAAGAATCATACAATAGCAGATTATGGAAGTGAGAAATTTTTAATCAGTTTTCTCCATTAATTCCAAATATACGAACCCTGTGCATATGAGGGAACTTGGCAACCACAAGCACAAAAACAGCAAGAGTGTTGAAGAAAAGCATTGGGTTCTGATAGTCAGTTGTGTGCGATGCAATCAAGTACCTGTGAGAAAATAGACATCCGTAGTAAATACTTGGTTCTACAAGCAAAGTTACGCAAGAGATACCACTTTGGAATCAACAAATACAAGTATGAAGTACTATGATAAAAATGTCTGGAAAAGGCCGTCACTTGTGCTGTAATTAGTAATGAATAATGAATGGATTTTCTCATACTTTGCATATCCTCACTTCAAATTACTCTAGGATTAGAATTTCTAACATACGATTACTTGAATCACGTGATGGAAGAAGGATAGAAATAACACAGCTTGTATTAAAGGTTACGTTTTATAAAATCACACCATATTGTTGAATAAGAGAGGCAGGGCAAATATGTAAGACAACTAATTTCACACATAAGAAATAGTTCAACAATAGTAACTTCTAACAACTACAAAGTGTTCCATTACCAAGCAACATATAAATGACATATTATAACCACCCAATCCTCTTGCTTTAACTAGGGAAAAGAAAAACTTTTTGTTAGTCACTCAGTTAGATGGCAAATGGTGAGAACCAAACAATTGCACCCGTCAACCAAGTGTTCACAAATATTATCAAATCATAATGCTGTATGATATCTTACTATTATCTGTAACCATTAAAATGACCAATCACAAAAGAAATTTTATCACTTTTAAGGAAATAAACTATAGGCTTCATATCATAAATGACAGACAAAGTCAAACGAATCTTCAATAAATTGAGAACTGCTGAATAGATAGCTTAGAAAACGCTTCTCGAATTACACTGCCCAAATCATTAACACTTGAAGTTAATTAACCTTTCTATGTTGCTTGGATAGTCCAACTCAGTAGTTCACCTTAAGCATCTGTGTCAAGCATTTAATACTCTAACATGGAATGGAGAACTGGAGGCTTGACACTTCATTTTGGACCCCAAACATGGAAAATTTTCATATGACAGCCAAGTCCGAGTATCATAGATTGTTAAAATGTCAATTAGGACTTATTTTCTACTCCGGTATGACTAATGTAGCAACAGGTTAAACACCAGCCTAAGCTTTTAAAGGCGCATCATTCATGAGTTTTTGGTAATTGATGTAGTATATAAATATATACTTCGTAATATATTGTGGGATTTTCTGCTCACAAGTACAATCACTAGAAAATTGACATAAAACTATCCTGCCACATTAATAAATAATCAGTGCAACTTGAAGTACTGTGTCTAGGTCTCTAGGACTCTAGGTGAATCGAATGACTCAGAGGGGGCAACCAATGCTACCACACCTGACAAAGGCTTAAAGGCTTACATTTCCCAGATATCTGCCTTCAGTCACAACCAGATAAGCAGCAGATTGCCAGAATCTTCTAATAAAGTTGACAAACAATTGTTCCTTCCTATGAGTAAGGTCGAAAAGTTTGAATGTGCACAGAGCAAGGAAGAATCTACGGAGGGATTAACAGGGGCCTCCCTGCGAGTTTGTGTAATACATATATAAAATGTCAGCTCGAGATTGCAACCTGGGTTCTGGCATAATGGTTCTTGGATGGAAGTCAATCATATCCTAAACTACCTAAAAGACATGTTCTAGCCTCCTCAACCTTGTGTTTTCTTCTCTCAATGGCTAACAGCTGAACACTACCCTTTTGTGCTCCAGCATCACCCCCTCCCCCCGCCCCCTAAAAAGTAAATCAGTTGGCTTCACCCCTAGCACAAGAATACAACTTACAGAACAAACAAGGCGAAAACTTGAAATAGACTCATTCCTACATATGTCTGTTCTATATTTCTGACATTTAGAGTTTATATGATTTTAAAGATACTCACAATACCACAGGAATAACGGTGAGAAATTTCCTATTCCGAGTAAGCTGCTGGCCATTTTCAATCTGCTCCCACCAAGTCAACCCATTGTAGATACCTTGATCATCAGAAAATGGTGTGCCTTTCTTCCAATGAAAGCAGTGATAAGTGACCTGAGTGAAAGAGCAAAAGCGGAATGCATTAATAAAACATGTTCAAGAAATATGTAAACATTTTTCTTCTACCAACCAACAGTTAATTACCATCCAAATATCTTCCCACTCTTTACAACTGAACAAAAAATCAACCAGCATAGAGCAAACAGTATAAAAACTACAAATGCATCTAATAGTCATCTCAGAAATCAAGAAGACGCGAGCCAGAGGAGCCACAGAAGAGATATGCTCAATTGCAGAATTCAGTATAACTGTTGGTAGTTGAGTTGAGTTTAAATAAAGAAGAACAATTGAACAAATGATTAGTCAGGCTCATGAACCTCAGGATAATTGAACTTGCAAGGCAATCTGATCATGATTACCCAAAGTCAAAATAAAACAACAATCACCGCGATCACCAAAACCCGCAAAATTCAGTTAATCAGTCACCTCTATGGCACAGTTTACTTGACCAATATACAATTTTCAGATCAAGTAATTAGATTTATTGGGTATTGTTTACTCAGCAAATTGAATTCCACATAATCTCAACAAGCGAGCATAATCATTCATCAAACAATATTAATCCAATCTACTTTTCCAAGGCAGAATTTTTTTAGGGTTTATACCATTCTAAAACTAAATCTTCCACATAAATAAACAAATCTTCCCTAATCCCCATACATTCAAAACAACCAAATTTCCAATTTTGCGCCCCTTTTCTTTATCATCAAATACACCCAAATATACCCATTAATCCTTGATTAATCAGAACCCCAGAAAACAGAGATCCAAACCCAGAAAAACAAAACAAAAATACAATCAAAGAAAAAGGGGATTAAATTAAACCCTAAAAAATAATGGGAGGAGAGAGAAACTTACGAGAAAATGAGAAAGATGAACAATGGTCCAAGCCATACCAGCAGAACAACCAAGGAGAGAGAGAGCAAGAAGCCATGAGAAGAAGAGAATGAGAATGTAGGTAGTCCATACACCTGGATACGTCATCCACTCTGTATTCTTATTCACTTCTTTCGATGCTTCTGCTCTCACATACATCAATTTCTTCTCCATTTTTCTTGTTCAATTTTTCTGGGTTTTTTGTTTCAGATTTTGTATAAACTATAAATATCAAATAAAGGGTATAAGAAGATTTTGATTTCTAAGTTTAGGGTAGGATATATTTGAAGGTCGATTTCCAGGATTAATCTTATTCAGTCTTCTACGAAAATACAAGTATATTAATTGTAGATTGGCTCAACAAACTGTACTAAAAATCTAAAATAAGAATTGAGGTGCAAATGTGCAATTAACTTCAAAGTCCACACGGTGTAGCCGTATAAGAATGAATAATTTTGGTGTCGGTTATCAACTTATCAACCCGATTGGGCAATTTTTAGTTAAATAGTTTGTCAAATAATCCATAATTCTTATATATAAAAAAAAAAAAAAAAAAGAGTAGAAGCGTGTATTATAACTAAACAAAGATAGATGTAGCCGTAACATACTAAAATTAGCGATAGGATTGGGGTTAAGTAAAATACAAGAGTTAGCAAAATGTCAAAATTTTGTGTATAGAGTTGTTTTGTTTTGACAAACTGTTATAATTGTTGTAGATGAGATTTGACAAATTCCGTTGCCTTTAATTTTATTGCATTATTATACAATTTTCTAGGAGTAAGTCGAGAATCTCTTTTTTTTTTGTAAGCTATGTTTATTTTGAATTGATTTAAGTGTATAAATGAATTGTGTTTGCTTCTCTCCCTCATAAACATAGCTCTAAAGGTTACCAATAGTGATTTGGCCAATAGTAGCCCCAATTTTCCTTTTTTTTTTAGTTAGTTCTTAAGTTTATGTCCATAACAAAGTTCATTCTCTCTATCAAAAGAAGTTTCAATCCATATATCGAGTTTTATCTCTAACTTTCTTTTATAAAGGGTTGAGGGTCATTATTCTTTATGTTCCACTACAAAATATAAATTAGTTCATTGATAGATACTTGACTGTTCAATTTTTTCATCTGCATTGAATCAAATCAAGGCCAATTAAAAATGCAACTAATCATGTATTCCTTGTGAAATGAAGTATGAAACAACAAATTAAAGAACGAGAAAAATTGTAGGACCTTATCTACAACAATCATCATAACTTCTACATATTGTGTTTCTCTTAAAACTTTAATCCACTATAAATATAAACATTTGCATTAGTTTTTGAATTACACAAACTCAAGCATAATCGGGTTTCATTCATCTTCACATCCCAGTCTTCTGCTTTCTTCATGGTATAGAGCGATTGAGATGCTCATAGGAGCACAATTCAGTCTCATATGCTTTCATAGAAGTAAAATTAGAGGGTTAGAGCACTAAAAACTCCAAACTAAATTGGAAAAGTTGGTGATTAGAGCCAATATACACTAAAGTAACTCCAAACTGAACACACATAGCTTCACTTTTGAGCGTTGCTACTAGAGTGGACCATGTTCACCTAACACGTACAACCACAACAATCATAAGTAACTACAAGTATTATTAGAAGAAGCCATGCATTTTGCGAAAAATCATACGAATTTCTTATTGTTGAAGGAAATCAGTTAGAAGAAACACAACTACATGTTGGGGATTTTGTGTTTAACAAGGGTCACAAAGAAAGCAAACAAAATAAACTGGTAAAATCTTCGAGGCGTGAACGGAATCGCTTTCCCAAAAGTATAATTCCGACCCTATACTACAAACGAGTTTCACGGAAATTTACTTAGGAGATACAACGAAGAACAATTGCAATCACAAGTAGGATGATTACAATACAATGTAGATAAGTGTATGTGATTTGTGATGATGATAAATATAGAGTTTGCAAAAGACCTTCAAGAGAAAAACTAAGTTTCGGATCTTTTTTTCTTGAAGTATCTCCAACATATGTTCACTGAACATATTTATATATAAAGCAAAAGAAACCAACAGTCACAAAGTAACTGTCAAACAACCAAGCAAAACTAACGAGAAAACCGTCAGTTTCTAAACTCCTCTGACACGCGCCCGATCGGGCCGGCCACTGTCCGACCGGGCGGCAGAGACGATTTCTAGAACTGATCCTCGCGCCCGATGGGGCGAGCACCACCCAGATCGGGCGGTAAACCGGGCCAGCTACTATTACTTCTCTAAACCGTGAAGTGTTCTGCCTTCTTTCAACCTTTTTACCAAGGTTAATTAATCTTGTTATTTGCTTTAATAATCTTGTTTAATTAATCTACAACACCATATCCTAAGTAAATTAATTAATTACATGAATTTTGTCTCCAATTCTCAAATTAATTCAACACTACACAATTCAATTTGTGGGGTCTAGTTTAATACTATAATACAACAAACAATTTAGAGTAATGACATCGTTCCCCACTTCAGATCCCTCTAGTCTATTGATCAAATGTCATGGGGGCTCTTTGGGAGATTTCCCTTTAACTCCTCCCCTTACATGACTCCCCTTTACCTTACAAAAAAAAACGAGGCTTTTAAGAGAGATATCAAACCAAACTTTTGATGAACAAGCCGAGCTTGATCTCACAAAGCCTAACCAGCTTCCAGCTGAAGTTCAAGCTTGCCTAGCTGACTAGCTGTGCCTTCAAGTTTCACTCGGCTCATATACACCAAAGTGCATACCGCATACGTCAAAGATATATTAGCAAGCCCAAAATAAACAAAGCTGAATCTCACAACTGTGTAATGTGCAAAACGTCTACAACTGGCTATTGCTTTACCTATCTGTTAAGCCGACATGAATTGAAAAAGGTATGTCTTTCACAAGAATTCATTTCATGTAATCAGCAAATAAAATCAGAATGTTAATACGAACATCCACTAAAGAAAGTAAATATAAACACTTCGCCAAAATTTTGTTGAAAATACACCTTTCCACTATAAAACAATCAATATGTGCATAACAATCAAGGATCCTACAGGGTTACAGGCTTACAGCAGCTGAGACTGGAAGTTGATACTTAGAGAACTTTTAATCATTGTTCACCGTTAATCCCAAAAATTCGCACCCTATGCATACGAGGGAACTTGGCAACCACTAGCACAAAAACGGCAAGAGTGTTCAAGAAAAGCATTGGATTCTGGTAGTCTGTTGTGTGAGATGCAATTAGGTACCTGCAAGGCACAGGACATAAGAACTTTTTTCTACAAGCAAAGGGTACAAAAGAGAGTTCATAGTTATAAGACTTAAAACTTCCGACAACTAAAATAACAGTTTTCAGTCTCCTTTAGTGACACAGCAGGTAAGTGATAAGCCTATAAACACCAAAAACATCTTACCTCCAACAAGGGAAAGCATAAATCACAGTGAGGCAGATGGCAATGGTGATTGATGACACAATCAAACATTTGTCCAAATCACCAAAGTGTTCACTAAAAGCTATTCGTTCATAATAAAAGTTACCGGGTACCAATAACACAACCAAGCTTGAGCGATTCAATGTTTAGAGAGGTCAAGACAGACAAAATCATTAAGAGTTTGACTGAAAAAGGATGAGCAAAACTAATCATATAAAATTCCTCAAATTACAACACAGACAATTAGAATCGAAAAGCTCCACATCAGGGATCTTTAGAGTAGCTTGACAAAGGCAATTATCTGTGTCACAATGAGACAACCGATACTCTAACATGGGCATGGACACTTGACTATTCATTTTGGACCAAAAATCATGCAAAATTTTTCATAGAAAAACAAAGTGAGAAACATAAATCTATTTATTCACATGTCAATCTTGTCGTAATTCTGTATATTGCAGTACTTGTCTTAAAGATAAGCTTTCTGCTTACAAAGATAGGCTGAAAGAACTGAGATAAAGAGAGAAGTCACCTGGTCAAATTTATGCACAAAGAACAGTGTCCAGACTGAAGCGAAATCTAACTAAGATGGGGTAACCAATACGGAAAAATACTACAACACTTTATAGGTAAAAAAAATATATAATGCCACATAAAACAGATGATCAGAGGCTCAGGTTTCATAGTTTCTTCATTCTGTCACAACCTGAAAATAAACAGATAACTGCCAGAACCTCATATCTAACAAAGTTGTAAACATTTTGTTCCTGCCTTATAGTAAGATGGAAAATTAATAGAAAAAACAAGTCAAACACTTAATTAAAGAGTAAACACATTCTTAAGGTAACTATGATGGCCTATATACTCACAACAACACAGGGACAACGGTGAAAAATTTCCTATTGCGGGTAAGTTGCTGGCCATTTTCAATCTGCTCCCACCAGGTCAATCCATTATAGATGCCCTGGTCTTCAGAGAATGGTGTGCCTTTCTTCCAATGAAAGAAATGATAAGTGACCTGAGCAAAAGTGGAATGCATTACTTCGAAATTTGATCAACAGATAATGAGATATGTAGGAAACAAAACAGTGGGGAAAAAACGGTAAGGAAAATATGCTAGTAGCCAAAGCATCCAACGTAATGAAAATGAATATGTTAGCTAGTAGCCTAGCAATCATCATAAAACAAACAGTTCTAGTACCCTAAGATAACAACCCAACTACATAAGCTTCTACACTATACCTCCCAGAAAGCATGCAGACATGAGCAGAGGTGCCACATGAATAATATGCTCCATGGAAGAGTATATGTTATCCAGAGTAAACATACATACTGCTCTAGACAACTGAGTCTATAAGAAGAGCAATATGATGTTTGATTTTGCTAGGCTGATCTACAAGATGGGAATTCATCATGATAAGTGAAGCGATATGAAATCAACAATTCTTCATCTGACACTGAGATCAACAACTGATGATGCTTTTGATATTCATCATGAGATTATTATCTTCAAAAGCAATATTTCTCCCATGAATACACAAATTCCTTCCTTATTGCACTAATGCTCATACACCAATAGATTGATTCCCATTCTTGCGATATTTTGTCTTAATTAGTGAAGATCATTAGAAAATGATTCGTCCTTAATTAGTTAAGTACTTAAGAAACCCCTTGTTACATCAAATTTTTCATAAGAAATGCTACTATGCTAGCAACTGCATATAGAGCAGTATCAGTACCCCACCAACACTAACTTCTCAAAAACTGTAACTCCAAATTATTGAATTAATACCTCCTCTACTTAATAATTGCAACACTTTGACTTGTATACTATTCAAACACACTTTGGTAATTAAATCTAATATAACATAATCATTAAAGTTAATAAATCACAATCATGTACGATCTTGGTAGATTCATCTCAAAGTACAATATTGCAATCTTGAGAAAGAAACTAAGTAAGAATCAAAGCCCAATTTATGCCTTATTTTATTGGTGACTCAATAAAAAGTGATAAATTTCTTCCTATATTAATCAAGAGACCCTTTTAAATATCCAAAAAGGAAGTTCCAAGTACCCCACTAACATAAATTTTTTAAAACAAAGCTAAAGTGTCCAGATTTATTTAACAAGAAACAAAACCCAATTTCTAAATTCTTATACTACTTGTATTATGATTTTTCTTAAAACAAAGCTAAAGTGTCCAGATTTATTTAACAAGAAACAAACCCAATTTCTAAATTCTTATGATTGGGTGATTATCAATTACAGTGAACCCTAAAGATCCAGCCTATGAATGAATAACAACTTTCACAATATCAACGATTAATGAAACATCGAAACAATCAAGAAAATGAGGTAAAATAATTTCAAAAAAGGAGAGAAAAAGAAGCTTACGATGAAATGAGAAAGATGAACAATGGTCCAAGCCAAACCAGAAGAACAACCGAGAAGAGAAAGAATAAGAAGCCAAGAAAAGAAGAGAATGAAAATGTAAATACTCCATAAACCTGGATAATCTACCCATTCTGTATTCTTATTCATTTCTTTTGCTGCTTCTCTTGTAACATACATTTTCTTCTCTATTTTCTTCTAGTTTTACCACTTTAAAGATTGAAAACTTATGAATTTTATGAAATTAATTTGATCCACTGTAATAGTGGGTGTTATTAATTTCGATTGATTTGGAAAATTGATGTTGCTTTTATTTTGTTTGCTAAAAAGATTGAAATGGGTGTTAACAATATAATATGGCCTATTTGGGAAAGAAGACAAGAAAAAGATTGATTTTTTTTCTAAATATATTAAGGATGAAGGATTTGGATTAATACTCCGTATTGTTTTCTAAAGGGGTTGATGGCAGGAAACTTCCTATTGTTAACTTATTAATGTGGGTGTCATGGAATGCACTTTATTTGACTACAAGATTAGATATTTAGAAGAATAACTAAATTCTCTTATATAAATACCCTCAATGAAGATTATTCAATGATATATCCAATTATTCAAAGAGAATTATTCGACTTTAAACTCAATTTGTGTTTGAATTAGATTACTACTTGATTGATGTATCATACTAATATGCAATATATTCAATGACTTAAATTACAAGTATTCTAAACCATCCATTGTATACATCACCCAACTTGAAACATTTGATCAAATTTTTAAATGGAGATAGACTCGATAAAATCAACTGCACGAGGGTGTGAAGGCTTGACCATTTATTTGAGCACTCATGAGCAATCCAAAAAAATACTTAGCTAAGAAAATTCAAGAAGTATACTCCTATAAGGAGAAGAAAGTTATTCTTAGTTTGTATACTTGTATGAAGTTTTAAGCTTAATACAACATATTTTGAGCTTTGGGCTAAAGGTTAGCAGCATCCTCGTGCGCGATGTGCCACCATAGTTTTGGTCAGCTTGGTTTGGAACATGTGAGCACCATGGATACTGTGGTCATGTGGTGTGCCTTCTTATATTGGGCCATTCCGGGATGAGAGTATGAGATCTAAATACTAATACTTCTCAATTCTCATGGTTCGTGACTATCAAATTGCCTAGTGACAAAAAAGAATAAGATGTAGGGCTGTAGGCGATTTTGTTCTTGGTTGTTATCTTGAATGATGTACAAAGACAGTTCAAAGACTTAATAGGGCTGGCTCCCTACGAACCTTCTGAAGAAAGGTCATTCTCATTCATAACTATATGGAAAAAAATTAAAGAGTTAGATCGTATCATCGATCTACTGGTAAGATACAAATTAATTACTATATATGTACAAAATTTGTCAACATTGTGACAAATTCTGTACATTCATGGTTCCAGTAATTCTACTATAGCTTGTGCACCATGAATTGTGAATTCGTCATCTCAATAGAAACCTTAAGCTATATTAAGGCTCAAGCATGAAATATTTCTAAAAAGAACAATAGGTCCAGATAAATGTGATTAACATCAAACATTTTCATTGCGCATGAACTGAAGCATGTCACCATAGGCTTAAATCAATACATGAAAATGCAATATACAGTAATACAGCTAACAGCAAGCATAGGAGGAGTGAGTAGAAAACCAGGTCAAGGACAGCTTGTAAAAATTAGGTTAATGCTCACGACTTGAATCCATTGATTTACAATTCTCAATTGTGCTGAAATTGGATTGTAAGTAGAAAATGATCAAATTACATACTCTTCTGACAGATTAGGGCCAAAAGGAATGATCAGGAAGATAAATCAGAGCTCACCGAGTCATTACTTACTGTATCCAACCCCTCTACTAACCTTCTCTTAGAAGACTTTGTTCTGTAACACCATATCTCAAAAGCTTCAGTTAAGTCAGGATAGCCTAACTGTTCAGATTCCATCCAATCACCCAGTATATCAGCCTGGTCATTTGATGGCAATGCTACTATAACCGAAACGATAGCTCCCTGGATGCCCTGGCATAGGTCTTCATCCATCCTGTAGGGGAAGCCTGTCTCGTCATTGCCCACAGAATCCAGAAGAGGCTTCATTTTCTGAATATAAGGAAGCCATGTCTTCAACAATTGCATCCTACATGCAGAAGGCAAAATTACAACGCCATAGCCCACCGCATCCAAAACCTTTGCAGTAATCTCGATAAGCTTAAACTTTAAACTCCACATGACAGATTCCAGCTTTGGGTGTTCAGCCATGCTTAGTATGAAGCTTGATAAATCAACCCACTTCAAGACAAAATCTCCCATTAAATTTATCTTTGGAAGCAAATTGCATAACCATTCAAGACCACTTAGATTGTGCAACATATTATTCTCAGAATTTTCAAAGGAAATGTCAGAGTGTGATAGGAGTGATGAAAATTCCTTTTGGAACATCATAAACATCTGAGAAAGACCCTTTCTTATCTCAGATCTTACTTCATCATCAGCAGTAACTAGTGGGGTTTCTTCATCTTCCCCTAGCATATACTCTATCTGCTCTTGAGCGGAGATCCTAATTTCATCCCCAAATGGAGGGCAAGGGGGAGAGATGGACATGGCATATCGAACTGCAGCAAGAAATACATTTTTGGTAGAATTTGGATCTAGAGGCTTAAGCCGGGCCAAAATAGGCAAGGCTATATCACCGAGTTTAGGCACAATTCTTAATATCTCCTCCTCTTCCTTGTCTTCCCAAGGAACAGCTTCTAAGTAATCAACACAGGTTTTCGCAATTTCTTCACATTGTAAAGACACTGCTACCTGGAGAACACCAAGGGCTGAATTTACGCTTTTCCATGAGTCAATAAGTGAGCTGGCAGGAAGGTGAAGGTGGTTCAAGAGATGAACATAGTGATCATAGTCAACAACTGAGCAATGAACTTCAATGCAAGAACCAAAAGTAGGGGACAAGAGCTGATCCGCAAAAAATTTGCTCTTTCCTTTCAAGACGGAAGGTTTAAAAAAGAAAATTCGTTGGGTTCCTTGCTCACTAGTTCTCAAGCAAACGGCAATGTCTTTGATATTATGATCATCTCTGGGTTCACAGCTCTTTTCTACTGCAGTTTCATCCATATGTTGTGAGAAAAGTCAAAATGACTCATACTTGTGCAGCTGAAATGAAGTACGGGTGCCATTGACATCAGAAAACTACATAAATCATGCAAATCAATGTCCGGAAATAGTGTCATATTTACAGCTATGATATTCAAGTCCCTAGCTAATTCGCTATACCAGAAATGGAATCCAGGGTTTCATAAATGGAGATACAGCAAAAGTAAAAAAGACATACTACACGTTACATGTCTTATCTTTTCAAGTAATGCAAATAGTGTAACCCAATATTGTACTAAGGAGAAAGTGTTCCATAAGTTATGAATCTTAAGATCATTATTTTTAGTTGTTTGTAGATAGTTTGCAGATTAAATTGATTTAAGTACATCTTTCATCAATTCCTAATTAAATTAAGTTCATAACAACGAGAAACACAATTCACAATACAGATAACACGATCAACCAATTATCAAACCTTTCAACAGCAATCATTACTTCAATTCCATACAAAAATACACAATGGTAACAATATATCAAGTTTCTCCACCATTATTGATTCATACTAGCATAATAACTTTACCAAATTAACATAAAATCAGTCACATACACAATATCAATCAGTCAATCAATTAATTCATAAGCATATAAATCAAACAACTGAACCCATTATATCAACCTGATTGATTAATAAACAAATTCAAAGTTCAGAAAGTCGATCAATAAAATAATAAAACAATCGAACGACTTAACAGACAGAGTAAATAAATCACGAATTCACCTAAATATGTTCAAACTTTTATTCAGCCAAACCCTAATTCCTAAATAAATCCAAAGTTGATACCCAAATTTTACAAAAATTGTATTCAATTAATAAAGTACAAAAGCTCTGAAACAAATCTCGAAAAAATGAAAATGAAATGTAAGAGAGAGAAAAGTACTAACATAGAAATGGCGCGGCGATTTTGCGAATTAGCGGTATTGCTGGTGGCTGTTGGCTGTTGCGGTAGAGCGGTCTTTACGGTAGTTTACTGTAGTGAAGAGAGTATGTGTATAGACTATACACTATAGACTTGAGGAGAGTCGTGGGGCTTGACGCTTTTTCAGCTCAATTGAATTAAACTAAACTAAATTGATTTAAGGTACATAAGGTCTGTTCTGATACGATTATTTTCAGTTCAGTTAAGCTCAATTCTAATAAGTTTAATTCAGTTCAGTTCAGCTCTAATAAGTTCACTTCAGCTCAACTCATTTCAGCCAATCAGAACAGGCTCGTAGTATAAAAAAAAAAGCTACTCTTTCTCGAAACAAACTCCTCCTAACTTCCTAAACGTGTTAGGGTATGTCAAGAAATCCTAAAGTTAATGTACAAATGTCTCTTAGCTCCACCTTGCAAATAAAGGTTTGTCTAAGGGCTTCACCTTGATGTCCGATAACTCGTCCTGCCAAAAAAAAAGAAGGTTAGCTGCCTTGGGGATGCGATCCAGAAAAATCCCTCCAATGCTTAAATCAACGAATTATCCTTTTTAGAAAGAAAAAGAAGAGAGAGCCGGAGAGAGAAAGAGAAAGATTCGAAAAAAGTCTCAGTCAATGAATGATGGGCTAGAGATAGGTGTACTTTTCTGGTGACATACTTGTGCTTGAGTGGACAAATTATGGGCAAATCCGTACTTTGTAATGATTAATGATGGGCTAGATCATGAAAGGGTATTTTCATCGTTTCGGATGCAATAGGCTTAAGATATGGACTAGGCCCATACAGCAAACAAAATTGAATTGAATTAAAAATAAGTTTCCATAATTATAATTAAGGAATAAGACCTTATTATATTAAGTCCTATTTTTTTGAACTACTTTGTTTTGCTGAAATTTGCTCTACTCATTAAATCCCACACTACTGACTCAATCTGCTCTGTTCGGCTCTGTTGAAATCTATTTTGCTTTATTTTCCCAGAATCTCAAAGAAACACAACCTTAGTGTATTACAAATACCTATTAAGAGTAGTACTTTTTGTCTATTTATAACACGTATTTTGATTATTAAAAAAATTACTTTAATGGAGTAAAAACATAAGGGTCATGAACAGATAAGGGATAACTTTACTAATAATTGAACATATACACCTAAAATTTTTAATACGTATTGACTTTTAATGGAGTAAAAAATAAGGGTCATAAACGGATAAGAGATAACTTTACTAATAATTAAAAATATACACCTAAAATTTTTAATACGTATTGACTTATTGCATATTTATAGGGTTTTATTTGTAGACTTTTTACTCCATAAAGAATTACACTCAATTTTTTGGAGGAGAAAACAGCTTGTTAGAGATTATAGATGTTAAGATGTATAGTTCAATCCACTCTTAGTTTGTTACTAGTCAATATTGCCAGTTTAAGGGTACCTGCAGGCTACTGAGCTAGTCAAGTACTCAAGTATGATGTTATCAAAGTTAACAAGGTCCAAACATTCTTGGTCTTCTAGCATTTGATAAACAAATTAATACTCCAAGTCCTCTTTAATCATTATCTAAGGTTATAGCCTCATCAAATTGAATTATGATGTTTGATAGGCAATAAGAAATCTATGTGATAAAGAAGATGTTCGAAACTAGCTACCAATAGTAAAAAGTCTTCTGCTTTTTTCCAACTCGATTGTAATAAAATGATAATTATGTGAAAATGAATTATTTTTGATTTCTTATATGATAACCGCTAATTAAACGTTCAAATCCACAATAAAAATGTATTTTTCTTTTGACACTCCATTATTTCTTTCCTTTATCGACTTATTGTTTAGCCATGTTGAATTAAACATACGCTACTAACTAGACTGAATCATAAGCTTTCAAAAAAACCAATATAACAACTAATTTGAGATGGAGTCACAAGAACGTCCACGTTTTTGTTTTAGACTTTTCTTTCACTGTGCCTTTTTAGATTTTACCCTTTTATTTGTTACCTTTCTCAAGAATTAAAAAAATTACCCCAATAACTTGGTTATTTGTAGTACTAAAAACGGTAGGTGGGTCAAAAAAATGGACCGGGCTGTAGTGTAAGTAAAGCTAGCTTAGACATTCTCTGGCAATGACAGGTCTGCTAAATGTGAAGGATGAAAAATTAAGTGTCGGGCTGTCTTTGGGCTTTTTTTAAGTGGGTGGGGTCCACCTCGTTTGGACCCATAACATTCCTTTGGAATTTGGGAGTTTGGGACACTACACTGACCCCTTCTATCATTGGATCATTGGCGCCTCTTATTTTGTTCACCTAATTATACCAATCCATTATTAATCTCAATTAAATACTCCCTTTTTTATATTTTTATTACTCAGTACTCCCTATTGTTTTTGTTTTTGTTTTTGGATTAAAAGAGAGCCGAATGAATAAGTGATGTAAGCAAGATTTTATCTCAAATCTTAAATAATTTAATCAATTTTGACCAACTTTTAGGGCTTGTTTGACATCGTTTTTTGTTTTCAGTTTTCAGTTTTTTTTTTTTTTTGAAAATTAAAAATCAAAAACAGGAAACAAGAAAAAGGTGTTTCCACTTTTTTGTTGCCAGTTTTCAAAATTATCATGATTTTAATAAGTTTGAATAATTTTTGACTCGTTATGTGACATATTTTATATGGTTTTAAAAAACAAAAAACAAAAAAAAACACAGTGATGCCAAACTAACCCTAATCTAGTTGATCAAATAGTGAGGGAATAACTCAAGTGCTTAACGTTGCTTTCTTACATGTCTTTGTGGCTCTTTACTACCCTCTACACACAAACAAAAGAAAAAAAAAAAAAAAAACTAGTTAATCATCCATATATTTTTTTTGTAATGTTATATTTTAAAACCATGAACCTTAGCTTCACCTTAGTAGGGATCAAACAAATTGGAAACTACATCTTGGTTCAACATTTTATCCATAAATATCACTTAAAGCGTGACTCAAAATACATTAGGTTGTAGTTGTAGCCTAACATGCAAGAAATGGTTTTAAATCTCTATAAAGTAGGCAGCAAGTCTTTGTATATATGTACAAGTAGAATTAGAGATTTAAATTGATTAAATGCTTTAATCTATTCGATTAATCAATTCTTCATCTTCCTAATCATAAAAAAACATTTAACCACTATTGTTTTATTTGTGTCAATTTTTTAGTAAAATTATCTATAATTTTTAGTAAAATTACCTCCTTTTTTCTTCTTCTTTTTTATATATTTTTTATTTATTTTTTATTTTTTACAAAATTTGGCTTCATGAAACCTAGACCTTAACATAGGAGGAAAATAGATTTGGCCTTTGTATCCTATTATTGCCAACTTTAACTTGTTTTCATTAAGTTAACTTAATTTTACTACACAATTTTAATTGGTTATTGCCTATTGGTGGTAATAGGAGAATGAAGATGCCCTTTTTTTTTGGGAGCTTAAAGTTTTAAAAAATAAAATAAACATTAACTTATTTTTGCTACAATTCAGTTAAGGAGCATAAAGGCACGATTAAAAATATAAGTATCAAATTGGTACTAAGTTCAAATTTTATACAAAATAACAACCGGCTTTTAAGTGAACAATTGTAAAACAATTGTAATAATTGTACATTTTAGCCTTACTTGATAGCTTTTATCCAAGATTTCATAATCATAGTTTTGTTCCCTTAATTAAAGATTTAATTTTGTTTATTGTCAACATTGACCCAAACGATGGTAGTGGTGGCAACTGGCAAGGAGGGAAGGATGATTTTCTGAGCAAAAAGGGAATGACGTAAAGTAGACACTTGTAATAAGTTTTCTTTAATTTATTAATAATAAGTTTTTTCAAAAAAAAAAAGGTTCGAATTTCTTTAGAACTAGTATAACTGTAATAATATTATTTCTAACAAATCACTAATGCTTTGGATTTTCTTTAGCTAATTTGATTATTATTATTGTTGTTATTGATTGAGTGACCAAATATGGAGCAGTAAATTAACTAGGTTAAGTCGCATGTTTATTTGATCATTGATCTAGGATTAAAAGGGATTGTAAGAAACAAGGATAGTTGATATGTAACTTAATATTCAATGGTCCACAACATAAATAAACTTGGCCAATGGCTATAGTATATTCTTTTCAAACTAATGAAATCATCCTTTTCTTTCCAATAGCATTTCCATATTCTTTTCCCCAAATAAAAATCACATCATTTATGATAACAAAAAAAAAATATTAAAAAAAAAGGTAAAATACATACTCCATATTTTGTTGTTAAAATTAACAATTACAAACTAGTCTATGGAAAAGGGTCAACTGATACACTCATTATATACATGCGCTACCTCATTAGATTATGATCGAGCCGTGAATATACACATGGTCAATTTAGAGTGCAGTATGTGCACATGTAATGAATTGTATACAATACTACATTAATACATTATTAAAATTGAAGATTTTTTTATAAAATGGTTGTAGTAATAAGAACACAGTAGTTCTTAAGGAAGAAGAAGAAGAGAAATAGAAGAGAGAATTCTAGAGAGAGAAGAAGATTGTAAGAGGAATTTTATTAATTTGTGATCTGATCCCTCATACATTACAGGAGAAACAATTTATATCAAATAAACAAAATAGAAGAATAATAAAAGAGCTGGCAGAGCATTAACCACCTCTAACAAACTCACTGACGTGGCATAACAAACCCAAAACATGACAAAAGCATGATCTATGCTCAATACCCCCCCCCCTCAAGAATGAATGTCTGAACATTGAGATTGTAAGACAGGCCATTCTTGAGATACAAAATTCTGAGCCAAACCAATCCTTGAAGCAAGGAACCGATGCTGATCAGCACCCAATGGTTTCGTCATAATATCTGCAAGCTGCAAAGCAGATCTAACATGCTTCAGAACAATCAAGCCACTCTGCACTTTCTCCCTAACATAATGAACATCAAGTTTTTGATGTTTACTTCGAAGCTGCTTAGTCTTCTCATGAAACACTGGATTTTCTGCTAAATGAATAGCAGAAATGTTATCACAAAACAATGTAATAGGAGTTGGAATAAAGACATGTAGCTCAGCCAACAATTGCTCCAACCAT